TATCCTGAAATGGACCAAAGAGGGAGGAGAACCCGAGAGCAGCTCCAAATTGCGCGCCCCAGTCTGTCCTTTGAACCCCCACGGCATCCTTCCGAAGAGCCCGGCTTTCCCGAGTCCTGCGAAGAACAGCTGCCCTTCCTTCCCGCCGGTACCTGGCCGGGCTGTAACTTCACACCGCCTTGCGCGCCGCGTCTGCTCCGCATCCGGCGCGGCCGGGGGAGTGGGGGGCGGGGGAGAGCGGCGAGGGAGGGATGCGCGGGGGTGGGGAGAGGGAGGGCCCCGCAACGTGCTGGGGCGGGGGAGCTCCCCCAAGTGTGTGACAAGTTCCAGGGCCCAGTGAAAAATTCAGTTCCCGGTGCTTCCCCCCCCCCCTCGACTCGTCTCGAAAAATACAGAAGAGAGTATATAGGTGGTCCTTTAAACTTGCACCAAAAATTAAAATAAGAGCCATGAATACGGGGAGGGGGGTCTGCAGGGGGCCCTTCCACGCCTCTTCTCCCCCCGACTCTCAAAGTTTCTGAAGTGTCCAACACCCGCCTTTGCGAGGCGCGCCTCAGTTGGAGATAACCACCTAGCCGCCGGACTCGCAGGGACCCCTGACCCAGCCAGGCCCAGGAGAGCACGGACAAGAACCCAAGAATGGGCGCAGAGTCCCAGGAACTAATACCTTCAAAATGTATACTCGAACACGCTTCTATCCTGCCCCCCTACACACACATACACACACACACACACACACACACACACACACACACACCTGGCCTGGCCGGGCTCGCGTTCAGAAAGCTAGTGGCCAGAATGGGAGGGGGGAAGCACGTGGTGACCTCCCCGCCGTCCCCAGCTCTGGACCCGAGAAGTCGGAGAAAGAACCAGGGGCAGCGTGGAGGGGGCGCACAGAACGCGCTTTGAGCGTTGCTTTGCAAAAGAAGAAAAAAACTGCTTGGCCAAACCGAGTTTCGTGCGGCCGATTTCGCAGTCTGGGAGGTCGGGAAGAGAGATCTGGGCATTGTGCTGGGGGTAGACACAGACCGCAGGCCGGGCTGGCTCCGGAGCGGCCGCCTTCGCCTGTCGGCCGCAGTGCCCCGCGGGTGGGCGGCGGGCGCGGGGTGGGCGATCCCGGGCTAGACAGGGGCGCGGCGAGGCCCCGGGAGAGGCCAGGCCGCTGTTACCGCCCGCTCCAGGACTGCGGCGCCGCGCTAGGTCCTCGTTCTGTTTGTTGGCAGGAAGCTCCCGCACACGCGGTGCTTGTAAACATTCAGACACGAGATTTTTCCCAATCAAAATCCACTTCCACTTTTTTTGAAAATCTTCCAAAAAATAGTAAGAGGAGGGAGTTCCTCGCTCCCTCCGTGCGCCGCGGGCGCGCTGAAGTTTGCCTCTGAAGCGGTTTTGGGGACGAGGGTGATTGTCATTTTATTTTCTCGAGTAGCGATGGTGAGGGTTTGTTTTTTCTTGCGTGGGGGGGGGGTCAAAGAAGGCACGCGCTGGGAAAGGGGGGAAAAAGGTTGGCGGAGCGTTTGGCTACTGTTTAGGAGCAGAAAGAAAATGGTACATTCTCTTGCCTGGTTGAATGTTTTTAATTTTTTTTCCTTTTATTTTGCACGTCTTCTTCTCGTCGCCTCTAAGATTTAGCCAGGAGGGGAGGGCAGCTGCAAACGCGGCGGCGGCGGCCGGAGTTCCCTCCCTCCCGCTCCCGCGTGCTCCCGGCCGCCTCCTCCCCGGGTTCCAAGCTCCAGCCCTACTGCGGCGGCGGCGGCGGCGGCGGCGCGGGAGGGCCAGCGCGAGGAGCCGGCACAAAAGGCGGCGGGACAAACACCCACCTCGGGCCGGAACAAAAGGCCGCAGCGCCAGCCCGCGTCTCCGGTCCTTGCTGGTCCCCCGGTTCTCCCCGATCACCACTTACCCCCCTTCCCCACTCGGCGGACCCCGGAGCGCCGGGGAACCCCTTCCACAGTGCCCTTTCGCACTATTGTGGGGACGACTACTTTCGGCCGCGGCACACTTGCTCGTGCGCACGTTGGGGTGCTAGGGGCCAGTCTCACCTCTTTTTCTCCCCCCAGAAAGTCTTTTTTTTTTCTTTCAGTCTTGGATTCGCTCCCCCCCCACTTCCATGTTCCTACGGTGAGTGGAAGCAACCCCCCTTTCCTTCCAGTCCCACCCCCCAGGTTTGCATGTGAGTTGTTCGCATCCTTAAGCATTGTTCCTTATTTTTGCAAAACTAGGGGGGGAAATCATTGCATTCCTTTCTGAAGGGAGGAATGAAGCGGCGGAGAGGAGGGAAGGAGGAGGAGTCCGTTTTTTGTAGAATTAAATAAAATTAAAAGGTGCGTGCCCATCTCAAAAGTGCACACGAGGCTGCGGGTTGAGAGGGGCTGCGGGGCTTCTTTCTCCCCCTTAGTCTCTTCTACCTCGACTCTCAAAGGTTTTTCACGTGAAAAAAAAACATTTTTTAATGCGTGCACACACCCCTCTCCCCCTCGCTCTGGCTTCGTGCTCGTCCTGCGCGCTCCCGTGATTATTAATAATTATTATTACTATTATTGGGTTACTTACGCGAGAATTCCCGTTTGCTTAAGTGCTGGGGTTTGCCTTGCTTGCGGCGAGACATGGTGGGCTGCGGGGCGGGCGGCGGCGGCGGCGGCGGCGGCGGCGGGCGGACGACGGCTCGGTTCACATCGGGAGAGCCGGGTTAGAAAGAAGGAGACTCCAGAGAAAATATCTTCATCAGTGCCTTTTGACATCCAAAATAAATTAGAAATAATACAAAGATGGCGCAGGGAAGATGAATTGTGGGAGAGCCGTCATGGCTTTTTTTTTAAGCAAAAAAAGAGAGAGAGAGAGAGAGAGGGAAGAGAGAGAGAGATAGAGGGAGAGAGAGAGAGAGAGGGAAGAGAGAGAGAGAGATGAAAAAAATGGCAAAAGCCCCCCTGAGCTGCAAGTTCAAGTGCGGACGTGACGTCCCTGCGAACTTGAACGTCAGGAGTCTGGATGGACAGAGACACACAAAACATGGGCAGGGCGAGCAGGAGAGAAGGGGAGGAGGGAAGGGGAAGCTCACACCAATGGACACACATCAGGGGCTGGACATGAAAAAGAGACCAGGACAAGCCAATGGCCAGTGCGGGGCGGGGGAGGTGCGGGGCGGGGGGCTCCGCAGACGCCAG